AAATTTTTTAATAGTTTTGATTATACTCTTTATGAAATGATAACAGATTTAATTTAATTATATCCAATTAATAGGATTAACATAAAGATTTCAATAATTATTTAATAATATTTATAATATTTATAAATTTATAATATATATATTATTTGTTATAATATATTTATAATATTTATAACAAATAATTGAAACTTAAATAAACATATTGAAACATTTTAATTAATTTAAAGAAAATTAGAAAAATAAACATATTTTTAATTATTAATTATTATAAGTTATATATACTTACATATATATAAATAAGAAACATCGATCTAAAGTAATATCAATTTTTATAAATGAAAATAAAGAAAGATCATTAAAGCGAATCATAAAAAATGCATTAATATTATCAACAAGGATACAAAACTCGTTACTATTCGTTAGAACCCTCTACTACATTAAAATTCTCAATTTCAGATGCGTGAAACAAGATGGGAAAGTCATTACACAGTAGGTATTTCCCGCGAACAGAACAATAATCCCCTATCGTAGCTACTTTTCACTTATATAGTAATAGTATAACTTTATATTCGTTAAAAGTCGAGAACAATACAAAGTAAAATGAAACATGCAATATAAGCATCTCTTATCATTTATAGTCGCGAAATAGTCTTCTCTTATATATAAATATATATATATATACATATTCACGTTCTTAATTTCATTGATATATTTCACATGTAACATCATGTCGTCATTCTATGGTCTTATAGTATCGCAATTTCTTATTTTAAATTTTCTTTTGGCAAAAACAACTCATACATCAAACCGTAAATTAAACTTTACGCTTAAAACCGTAAGTTCAATATATTTTTATATCTTTGCAATTTTTATTTATATTTTTTAATATTTTTTATATTTTTTTTTAATTATTATTTAGAATAATAAATTCAATATTTACTATTTTTTTATAAGATAGATATATTTAAGCGTAAGAATTATTAAATCGTAAGACTTGCACTTCTATAGAAAAAATTTTATAATTTAAAAAGATAAATTAAATTAAAATAATGAATATAAATTGTTATTTTTATTAAACAGCCAGAATTGATAAAAAATCATGGATATCAGGTGGAAATTCATAATATTGTGACAGAAGATGGTTATATTCTAGAAATTCATAGACTTCCATACGGACGTATTAATGGTGAAAGGAATTTTAAAAACGCGAAGCGGCCAATTTTAATTCAGCATGGATTAGCGGGCAGTTCTGCGGATTGGATCCTTATGGGACCAGAAAGAGCATTAGGTAATTTTAATTTCGAATATTAATTTAATATTAATTTAATATTAATTTTAATCTAATATTAAAGAATAATATATTTTTCTAAAAATCAGATTTTAACATTATTTTTTAACAAAAATTTAAAGTTTAAAATTTTTTTTGTTTTGTCTGTATACATATGTATATGTATAATCGAATTTATACGAGTATGAGATTTTTTCCTCATAAATCTGTTCTAAAATATTTCAAAAAATTATATTTGTTCTATAATTCCGAATATTCCAATTAATTGCAATTTATTGTAATTTTATAAGATCTTATAAAAAAAATAAATGGAATAGAAAATCATAAAAGATCGATTCGATGTTAAGATAAAATAAGAATAACATAACTAAATGAATTATATAATTTAATGACTTATGTAATTTCTTCTTTCTTCTTGATAATTTAAAATGCAAGTAGAAATTTCCTTGCTAAATTATTTTGGAAAGTTACTAGGAAATTTATAAAGATTTATCTATTTTATAAAAATGAGAAATCACATTAATAAAAGGAATTACATTTAATTTTACATTAACTTTTATATTATTATTTTATTAATTTAATAATTTTATATTATATTTTATATTAACCTAATAATAATAATAAACATATAAAATTAACTAAAAAAATTATTACAAAAATAATAATAAAATTATTAAAAAAAAATAATTAAAAAAATAAAATAATAAATATATAAAATAATAAAGAGATGACTTTTAAAGAAATTAAAATTCTATATAAATATACATTTATATATATATCATAATCTGAACACTATATTAAAATATGTTTTACATAAGTACTTTCTAATTACATTTTAAAATTACATATATAACAATTATCTTTAATTAATTCTTTCATGTATATTCTTTCTTGTTTTTATACCATTGTTATGTAATTGGCGTCAAGGTTGTACATCATGAAAGCTATTTCTAAATTCGTACTTTTTAGTTTATCTTATGATGTCATCTTTGGTTGTAAAAACTGGTTAAAAAATTACATCCCTGACATAAATAAAGTTTAAATACATCGTAATTGCTTCGATATACTTAAACTTTTTTATCGCCAACGAACACTTTTAAATCGATATTTCTCACATTTTTATAAATTCTGTAAAAAATAAAAAAAAATTTTTGAAATATTCAATAATGATTAAAATATAAAATTGATAAATTCTTCTAAGAGTTGTAAGATTAATTTAAAAAGAAATTATGACTGATTTTTTTCAATTCTAAAAAAAATCAATTTCTATTTTTAAAATAAAAATTTTAAAATAAATTACAATTTATTATAATTTATATGGAGTGCATATTTCCAGCATACATGTTAGCAGATGCAGGATACGATGTATGGCTTGGAAATAACAGAGGAAACATTTATTCAAGAAATCATATTTCGATGTTACCAACGGAACGATATTTTTGGAATTTTAGGTATACGAAGCAAAATTTCTTAATTTCTTTTTCTTTTTTTTTTTTTATTCTTTTTTATTTATATATCTTATAATGTTTCGGTTTTTTTTTTTATGTTTTCAGTTACCACGAACTCGGTATTTATGATATTCCGGCAACAATCGATTATATAATCCATCAAACGAATTATAAACAAATTTTTTATATCGGTCATTCTCAAGGAACTACGCAATTTTTGGTGGCAATGTCCCAAAAACCAGATTATAACGCAAAAATTAAGTTAATGATTGGTCTTGCGCCTGTAGCTTTTACCGGCAATTTACGCGGACCGATTACAAAACTCGCTAAATTAACATACATGGGCGTGGTAAGTTATTCAAAAATTTTATTTTATAGATATTTAATATCGAAGAATGAT